GATCTTTGGTTTTGTGGTTCAGCTGTTCAGCCCGACAAGTGATTGGGCGCCGTGGGCCAGTGTTCTTCGGCCCGCCACTTGACTCACTCAACCGAGATCCACAGGACTGGCCTGACCTCAATGACACGGTACACCGTGATTGCCGCCACCTTTTTGGAAACCTTCCCACCGAAACGGCTTGATGTGTACTAGACGAGGGAGTTATGCAATTATACAATATATACAGACAGAGGGGGTTTTGACATGTTTTGGCGCATGCACAATGACCCTTCAATTATATCATTCCTTTGGATTCGGTGAATGTTTCCTTGGCATGAGGCCTTTGGCATCCTTGAACCCACGACGCAATGAGTCCTCAGCCGGGCGCTGAGCGGGTATTGTGAGCAGGTATTGCCTTTGGCATCCTTTGGAAAATCTTAATGTCAAAGGAAAATCGTTGCACACCCTTCTGAGGGCAACTGCCTTTCGGAGGGATTTCACCACCTGATGCCATCATGAATGGATGGCCCAATCCACTGGCTTTAGGGGTAGAAAGGGTCTTCCGATGAGAGTAGTTCAATGCCCAAGGGAATTTCCAGACATATTGATGATCTGCGACGTGTCCAGGGAGGTTCAGGTTTGACCAGTTTCAGTGTTTGTTGTTGCACCCACGGTATTGTGTTGGATTTGGAGAGCCAGCAGAACAGTTCGTAGAGGGTCATGAGATCGTTCGCGCAGGGTGGCCCCCCACTATGTGCAAAAGCATACGTAGATGATGGCTACTATGATGACTTAAACATGTTTGGATAAACTCGCGGATATGTTGCTACCCTCAAGGACCTTGAGGTTCGGTGTGGCGTCCACTTTGGAAGAGTTTCCCTCCTGGAGAGGGATGGTGTTTTGTACAAGCATGAGAAAGAGTCAAGCATCGACTCTGGAGTCTGTACAAGCACGCGATTGACGACTCCAATGGCCGTAGGTCGACAGGAGGATTCCTGTTTGACGGTGGGTCCCTGTTCAGCCACGAGTCCGTCCCCACCATTCAACTCTAAGAGGTTCCAAACAGATTTCCCATCCCTGAAGGAATCTCCAAAATATTCCAAAATGAACATACTCACCACTATTTAAACCAGTTGAGCGAGAATCCCCCAACTCTATCAGCGCCCATAGCTTTCTTTGCAGCCATTGCGGACAGAAACTAATAGAAACTACAGTCAACGAAAGACACGCAGAACGCCACATCAGATATACAATGATATACATCACACAGTTTGGGCTTAGCATCAGGGTTTCTTCCACAGTAGGGAGCCAGGCCGCCCCTTGGTTTTTAGCGATACCACATAGGTCATATATAAGTTAAGCCCTTATAAGCCCTTAATATAAACATTAACTGGGCCCTCAGATGTTGCTCCTTCAACCCACAGGCTGTTCTGAACGACCAAACAAAACAAAGGCAGCTGAACTTCGCTGAACCGAACTCATCGGTGCGCTGCCGAGCCCATGGCGTTTCGTCGACTCCGACGATGCCTGGCCACCGTCTCCGTCTCCATGGCCGTTTGGGGGTGCCACGGATGTCTTGGTCGTTGAGTGGAGCACGGTGAACACAAACGAAGGATGCACCAAGTCCGTTTCTGAAAAGTTCCTTCTAGTGAGGTCTGTGTGTTTCTGGGAGTAAATGTTCGGTTGGGCCACGCATGAGGCCCTGCTGAAAGATACTGTATGTATGGGCCAAAATGCTTGACCAAAGCATAGACTAGAGGATTTCTCGGACCGTTGAGGACCATCTCTTTTTGTTTTGACCATGACAGGACACCTTGATCAGCTTGAGTTAGCTTCGGATCGTCCAAACCAACAGTACAGGCCGTCGAGAAGATCCTAAATGACTTGTCCATCGTGTCATCGTATGTCCTGTTTTGGTTGGTGGTTCCAAAATGGTTGGACAATCGCTACAGAACCCACCAGCAGCAGTAAAACTTATTGCAATTGCTGTACCAGGGGCCTAGTGCTCCGGGTTTTCTTGCAAACTCCCTTTGGCTTGGGGGGGCAGGGGGGTGTTCCTTTGCGGTGAATTCCTCCTAAGATAAGATGTATTGTGTTCCTCCTATGCCTCTCACCGACAAGCATGAGCAGAATCCACTGAAGGGTGGGTTGCCCATTTGGCGAGGCGCGCCTTCGGTGGAGCGAGCATGCGCCCTCATGCAGGCCAAGCTGGAGCTGGCTGGAGTGAGTTGGCATACTGATGCATATACCGTATATAATGGTGGAATGTTTGAAAGCATGCATTTGCATATTAAACTAAAATATTTGAGGCCGCGGCCTCAGAAAAAAGGAATCACATATGACATATACTGCAGTTAAGGTTGCATATACGCAACACATGTAAGGCATCTGCAGGATACCATTTGCTTCGGGCTTAAGGAGGGGCTTTTGCCAGCGAGGCGCGGCTTCGGGAGATTCACATCGGTTATTCGCGAATGCCCTTGCTCCTAGTAGCGTCCTTGCTCCTAGTAGTAAGGCCAGGAGCCCGTAGTAGCGTCCTTGCTCCTAGTAGCGATGCCCTTGTTCCTAGTAGCTTCTTGTTTGCTATTCCAGATATGTCCAGAGAATCCTTCAATGAGCATGACCAGGCCTTGGCGCCGCCGTGCCCACGATCGGCGCGATCGGCACACCGCGGATTCTCGCACGCTGGGCTGCTGCCCAAGGAGAGTTAGCGTGAAGGGATTATATATATATATATGGAGACTCGCCTGGTAATATGAAAAGTAAGGAATTGTTTGCATCACTGGTTGGACCAGTTAGACCCACTGATTTTAGGATTCTTATCTTGACCCGGTCCAAGTCAATGAGTCAATGTTCCCTTTCGGTCGCCTTCCGTGAGTCGACCTGAGGAGTCTTGGAGGACGTGACTCGTGAGCTCCGGCGCTACCTGGACGAGCGCGGTGTGCGGCACCAGGCTCAAGTTGCAACGAACGCGTTTCACAATGGAGACTTAATATACCTGAGAGATCCTGAGAGGGTGAAACCATGGTTTTGAAATGGTTTGTGAGTTTGCAACCTAGTAAGCATAAGATTTCTGTTTGTTCCCTTCTTGAGCATGGAGATGCAATTCATTTGACCTGCGGACAGGCGAACAGGATCATTTCAACATGGGATGGTCAAACATGAGGACGGATTTCTAACGAGGTGGATCCAGGGGAAGCAGGATCCGACATGCTTTGACCATCCCTCGTGTAATAATAATATATAATCCCCCGTGATTGTGGGCTTATAAAATGCAGATCCTTTTCCTTTACAAAATGCAAATTCCAAGACACATTTTATAAACATTAGGTTTTTCTATGTTTTTAAGGATAACTACATAAGATCTGGAGTATCGTCATTTTATAAACTTTACTAACTTGGACACTGAATGACAGTAATAGAGGGCAGGTGAACCCCGTAATCTCATTTTATAAACATTCACTTGTCGAGTTGTCAGAGGATGGTCAGAACATGATTTCTCATTTTATAAAGATCATGTTCTGGACTGTCTAAAAAGGTATTGATTTTTCATATGTTTCTAAGAAACCTAAATTTTCAGAAATGCCCTCAAAACTCTTCAAACCGCAAGGAAAGACAGGGGTAGAGCCCGAAACATCCAACATCCAACACCTCAAACGATCCGAAACGGTTCCAGGTCCGTACGCCGCTCTTCCCCCTTATCTCGGTGCCAAACAGCACCGTGAAACACCCCGTGTTCTTTAGACCTTTCTTTCGACCTTTAGACCGGTCTCCCCCCGTGACCGGTCCGAAGCCTCTCGTTACCCCCCCCGTAAAGGGAAGAGACACAGAGACAGGGAGAGAGAAGAAAAAGTGTAGAAAAAGTAGCTAGCTAATTTTTAATTCTTAGTTATTTTCCTGGTCATATTCCTTCAGTTCCTGTCTTTCCTTGAGGTTTGAAGAGTTTTGAACAGTGGGTTCAAATTTAGTTGTTGATTATTGAAAATATAAATTTTCAGAATCTGAAAATTCAGAATCTGAATCATTACTAAATAATAACTATTTCAGAATCTTGAGATCTTGACATGACGAATTTTCATTTTATAAAGTATCCGAATTTGGCTTCTTACGGACATTTCCGATGAGCAATTCGCCTTTTATAAAGTGTTTCTTCCTGGATGTCGATTTCTATCTTAACCTATCACAACCTGTGCTGGTCATTTTATGAACTAGTTGTTTTTCATTTTATAAACAAAAAACCTATCATCCCACACATTTTATAAACCCACAAAGTTTATAAAATGCAAAATCAGCGCGCCTATGAACAATCACGGGGGATAATATATATATATATATATCGTATAATATAGTGTATGTCAGTGTCAAAAAATGCCAATTACACAATGGAAACATCGGGGAAACAAGTACTTGAGGATGCTCAACTCCGCTGCTCGGTGATGCCTCTCGCTGCCAGGATTGCTTCGAGAAGCAAGAGTTGCTGGAGCGTGTCCAGGAGCACATGGCACAGGAGAGCCAAGCTGGCCGTTCTACACGGAGTGAAGCGGCGGCTGCGCGGTCGGCGCTTTGGATGCTTTGGGTCGGTGCTTTGGGTGCTTTGCCCTTGTTTGATCTTTGTGTGCTCTACAAGTGCCCTGGAGAAATGATAACTGCTAGAGCTTCCATAGAAAATCATAGAGGGTTGCTGACATCGGAAGACACTTAGAGGAATGTATATACATAATTCGTAGATAAGAATCTGATCTAGAAAAATTGCTCAATTGAGAAGAGATGTTTCAATTCAACCTTGTTTCGACTGGGTCGTTCTGGACATGTGAAAGACCCTAAGGTCATCCGGCACGGCCAAGTGGTGTGATAGTTGCAGGAGATGGGGTCCTACTAACTATCTCCGGACAGTCCAACAATTTTTGACATATTTTGCTATTTTTGGATGCAAAGCATGAACCGATCTCTTCAAGGGGCTGTTAGAACATGATTCTTTTGCAATCACCCCAAGAAAGCATCCACTGGCATTCATAACTGAGGCTCGCAGTTCCACAGCCTCACGCTTTGCTCAGTTTGGGGACCTGGTGGATGTGCCCGCGCAGGGCCAAGAGGAGGGCACCTTGGCCGACTTGGCTAGTTGGTGTCAACATGAACCTGGTTTTGCTGGAGGCCATTTGTTTGATGTTCCCCCAAGGGAAATCTAATCCCCCCCAAAATGGATCATGACATATAATATATATGTTTTTTTTCCTTTAAATAGTTCTTTTAGTTGCGATGTTTGCAGGTCCCAAAAAACAGATCGAAGTTAGATGCTGAACAAGAGGTGTTCCAGGTCCTTGTGAGGCCTTGACTTCCCCCAAACCAATGACTTGTGTAGAACTTGTGCAGGCGTTTTTATTTTCCTGCACGGCTTTGGCGATTCAGCACGGGGCTTTGCAAGCCAACTTCCCAACCTGCTGCAGATGCCCCAGATGCGGTATGTGCTGCCAACGGCACCTTCATTGGGAGGCACTGCGCACAGTGCGGACCGTGGGCACGTGCACGTGGAAGGAAACATAGGTTGGCTAGATAGATTGATTAAATAGGACCCAAGGCAGAATGTTGGCTATGACAATATGGGTTTGTTTGACTTCGGCGAAGCATAGCCCGAAGCATACCTCCGAAGCGTACCCCATAGTCAAACATACGGCCTGGGAATCCTTTAAATAATGCAGGTAATATGTACTATCTCATAGGGGCACAGCGGCAACGATTTCTTCACCTTGAAAGAACTTAAACTATAACGATGAACTATATATATAGCATATAATATGATTGATACGTTTTTTGAGCATCATTGCAGACCAGAGCTCTTCTGGCACAATCGTCATTGCAGGGATCCATGGACGTGATTGTAACGGCCAAGAAGGATATGTTTGACCCCACGTCCCCAAATGTATTAGTTTTTGATTGTGACATTTATGGTGAATCAATTGGATCCTTTGCGATGATCCACTGAGCAGCTAAGCAGCTCCAAGTATAGCTACATGCTTCCCTGCGTGACACCCTTTAGCTCCAAGCCGTTGTTCATATGTTTTTCGTGTAGTATTAAACATGTTTTATTGCCATCATGTTGTTCTTACAGAACTTCAGCGTTGTCCCGAACGACTGATTCTTGACCCACAGTAAGAGTGACGGGATGGTTCGCAAGGCATGCGCTCCTGGTTTACGCCGGCTGCTTTGGGTGGCGGTGGAGAAAGCGTGGCGGTGAAGGAGAGCGTGGAGTATGTGACTTCGGCACGGAACTAGTCAACTAGTCTGGGAAAACATATATATGTGAAAGTGAAGACACAACAGAACCCACATGTGTGGGCTGTGCTTGATAGACCCTACTGTACCGGTCATGAAGGTCCACGTGGCTGAACTATCAAAATGTGAATCGATCTCACGTCGGGGCGAGTCAAGAGCAATGATTGGGTCTATGTTGGCTGTATAGGTTTTGGGACGAGCATCAAGCATTTTGAGCTTTTCACCAAAATGAACAAAGATTTGCAATGCAATGGAGATTATCCACACATACAGGGCGCGGCCCTCCCGAAAGGAAGAAACTCTCAACAAGGATATGATCCTTGAATATGTGTTGCTTTTTTCCTGCAAGGAAGATACTTTTGTGGGGATCAGGTGTGGATAAAGGAACTCTTGTAATACAGGAGAAGGTTCATGAGGATGTCAAGTACCTAGATGATCATTCATGTTACAGATTTATGTGATGATCTATATGGGTGCCACTGGGGAAACGGGATGTACTCACAGGGGTGCATTTTGTCACTGCCCACAGTCGGGATGTACTCCATGTCGGCAGTTTTTCGCCACAGAGGAGGTGGACCTGAGGACAATGGACAGATGGTGTTGGACGTCTATTCCAGGTTTATGCCAGACATGAACGGGTTTCCTTCAAGACTCCTTGGAGACAAAGAGAAAAACAAACACAGTTCACTAGATAGTTGTACGTTATTCTCCAGGTGGGAGGTGGTAAATATCCCAACATATCCCAATCTTGTTGCTGGCCAAACTGTTTGTTGACGAAAGGTAGCGGTTACGCTACCTGACCGAAAAAAGACCAAAAGCCAGGAAAGATTTTGTCGGAAAGGGTTTTTTAGGCTTTTGGAGGCTTCAAAATTGCACAAAGCTATGGTATTTACAGGGTTTTGTGCACCTTCCCGGCAGAAAACGCCGGTATTTACACGGTTTTCTGCGCTTTTCCAACGCCTGATTCCCTGCTACCTTTCGTTCACCCCCCTCCTCTCTCAAGTTTTCTTTGTGCCTGCTTTTCTTTCTCACCACAGCCTGGGGCCACGCCAAGGTGCACGAGTTGATCCGCCAAGAAATCACGCGTGGTGTCCGTCCAGGGCAGATTTTTGTGGGTGGTTTCTCGCAAGGCTGGGCAAAAAGAAACGACGACTGGTCGAAGGTCTTGATTGGAAAGGGGTTGTTAGTTTGGGCTGGGCCCGGGCCCAGGGTGCCCCCCAACAAGACCATGTTGAGAGGGATCAAACATTTTTGTGAGAACCTACTTGGGAAGAAGAGGCTTCCTGTGGATGTTTGTTTCCTGAACCCAACGATTCACTGATTCACATATGACCAACCCCTCCAGCTTGGCTGGAGTGCGGACGTCGAGACGAGCCAGGGCTGGTTTCAATCAGGCTGGTGCATGTTGGCATTGAAAGTGTGCCTTCTATACCAAATACCTTTTTGGTGTTTGCACAAAATAAACATAGTTCTCTCGTCCAGTCATCCAAATCAAAAGAGGCGGCTGTGTGGCCGTGCGGGCTGCCTTGAGTTTCCCGGATGCCTCACTGGGTGGTGCAGTGGCGGCTTCCACGTTCTTGAGCATGAGCAGGCTGGTAGAGGTGGTTTGGGCACTTGGAGTAGTTTTTTGTGCGGTTGAGTGGTTTTTCGTGGTGTGTTTGGCAATTTGCTTATACGTTGGTCTCTCACTGAGGGCGAAAAAACTCATCAAACATGGCCATCCGAAGAAAGACCTTTGTTTGAAAAAATAAAGACATGAGATGAATCCATAGACCTTATGGCCTTAAGTTCTTTCCCTTGATTACGCCACGATCCGACGAGAGGATGTATGCGTTTCCGAAAGCAACGGCCCATCCAATCTTGGCAACCTGCACTTCATCCCATGACCCTTCTTCGTGCCGGCAGGTGGTTTGCAGAGAACCTTCTAGAATAAACGGTGGAGATATGATACCTCCTCCCCAAAACAACGTCTCAACCCACGCACGACAGGAGTCCGGAGGCTGTGAGCATTGCAGAGCCCAACAGGCCTGATGCTGGGAGTTAGCAATGATGGCGGGTGCATGGCAAGTGGCCATCACGCAGATGTCATCTTTCCCCGGGAGGTGAAAAGAACCAGAAGAGCAAGACGAGCGCAAACTGAAGAGAGCATGAGATGTTGAACATGTTTGTGGGATGTTGGTGTTTATGAGTCTCAATCAGAACCTAGGCGGCTCCGGCTCATGCATAGCTCAGCTTGTCGGGTCATGCCGGGTCTCTGGTCTATCAAGAAAATGTGAATCGGGAGACCAGAATAGACGATATAGTTGATTCGTTGACACCCTATCGGTTGCAGGATGTTCTATGTGTGCTCTCCAGACACACGGACTCCACATGACTCACAAGGCGTTTGCCGGTCCTTGGCTGCCACGGAGATGCGGATGGGGCTGTGCCCAGCTTGGCTGGGAAGCAGCTCGTGGAGCAGCTGAGAAACCAAGGCACGGGCGTGGCAGGGGGTGTCTTTGTTTGTCTATTCCATCTATATATTAGTCCTAGTTTTACTTCCTGTAAATAAGAAATATACCAATATATGTATATATTTATTTATTTATACAGGTGTCTATACTTAGAAATCCAACTATGCTTCAAAAGCGGACCTTGATAGATCGCACTGCTCACCGCTGGCATTTCAAGGAAGCAGGCTGACATAGGCTGACCCTTAGGTCTGAAAACCGCCCTGTAGCAGAAGACCAAGGAATGTCTCATGGACCGCAACCTGATCACATGTATACAATAAGGTGCTGGTTGTATTTGTTGGAACAGCTTTTTGCATTGTGAACTCTGACTCAAGAAGACCTGGCAACGAATGCAAGCAGGTCTATCCTTCTGCCCCAGGAGTTCCATGCAAAAGGACGCGTTCGTCGTAGAACGACCCACGTCCGGGGTTGTTCCCCTTACATCCCCGTTACCAAGTACAAGCTGGATCAAAGGGAGCACCTCAGGAACAGCCCTCACTTAGTAAGGTCCCTGCCAATTCTTTGCCTCAGGTGCCCCGCGTTGGAAAGGCATTCTCCTCTTGAGCCTCTTAAGTGTTCATGTAGTCATGCTTGGCGTTCGTTTTGCCGTTCACAGCGCCCTGAAGAAGCGAAGAAAGCTTCCCTGAAAGAGCCCTGGGGACCGCACTTGGCCCGTTGTCACCATCTCGTCGGCTTTAAACAGAGGCGTTCCAGCAGAGTTCAAGAGCTATCCCACCATGGGCCATGCCTATTGCCCGGAGGAGCCAGCGAAGCCGCCGTTTGCATGGAAAGCACAGCTGGCCCCAAAAAGCCAAATATGGAGGAAAGTCTTAGAGTCACGCATGGCGGCGTTCGGACGAGTCAACCCAACATGTTGTGAAGATTTCCTGCCTGTAGATCTCTCTGTCGAGCCATCTCTGTTTGCCCAAATCATCCAAGCAAATTCTGCACTCCATTTCAATTGGTGTTGGGCAACCAGGGTTTGCTGGGTCACACTCCTGGACTATCCTGGGCTATACTCCTCATTTGCTGAAGGAAAGCAGCGCATTGGTATTGGGGGAATTGTCCACTACTGGATGGTTTGTTGCCGTGCCAAAGATGGAAAAGGTAGGGGTTGTCTAGGTTGTCGTCAGCATCAAATCTCCTTCACTCCTTCACCCGCAATGCTCCTTCAAGGACAAGAAGGTTCATAGCCTGGGACAACCTGGATTGCTGTTTCTGTTTGTGTGGCTTTGTTCCAGCTGGAGGCCACCCCTGAATCCGATTGGTCGAACAGGTACCCAGAGAAAACGCATCCACGTCTCATGCTGTTGAGATGGTCGAAGGGGAGTTGCTTGATGTTGCTTGTATGTAGTTACATGTAGTTACTTTTGATTTGCATGCATGCTCCTCAACCCCTACCAGGGGAACGAGCTGACCAAGGGCAAAATGAGATGACACCCTTCTACCCAGTCGAGTTATAGATGTTCCAGCCCGGAGAATGCATCTCGTTGGGATCCCTGCACCCCAGGAGGCCCGGGACGTGGTGTCCTTCCTGACGCAACACCTGCGGAAGTCGCGCCCGCGCGGGGCAGAAGCCTTGGAGCAGATGTCCGCCAAGGAGCGGGAGAAACCCGAGGTGTGTTTGGATGTTCTTGGGTCCTAAGTCCTATAAGTAAGATATACCGTCAGTGTATAGCCAATATTAACAAACAACTAATATTGACTAAAAATGACAAATATTAACATATTAACTAATAATAATACTAAAATAATATGTTGATCGATCCCAGATTTTATTCTGCACCGTTTGGACACACAATCCGCTTTTGACGAACTGATCGTCGCAGAGATTCCTGCTGCCACTTCACACAGGAACTGAAAGCCTTGCTGCTGGAGAATGGAGTAAGTACCCTGGGTTGCTTTGAGAAGTGGGAGCTGCTGGAGCGCGCGAAAGAAGCGAATCTGTAGCAGGGCCATGCGGTGAGCAGCGCCATGCAGGGCCTGCAGTCGAGTGAGAATTATGCTCGACAAGAAAGCTTAACTGTTGGATGGAGCTTAACTGTTGTCTACTTATCTTGCCATTTGGGGTATGGTCAGTCGAGCTAAGCTTGGGGGTCAGTATCCAAAATCAGTTGTGTGTGTGTGTGACCAGTGTGTTCAGCTGTTTGAGAGTGAACAGATTTGTAATATTTTGTATACTGGGATATGCGGATGTGCAAATGATTATTTGTCATAGTGGCGCTTCCTGGCGTGGCGTCCCTCGACTGCAGAGCTATGGGCGACTACTATGCGATGTCTCTCGGGTCTTTGGGACTGCAGTCACCAAGGATCTGAGCGCAGTCGGTTCCCCAGTAAGGGCCTGGAAGAGTAACAGTCTAGTCCCGCAACAGGCGGCGGAAATGTACAGCCTGCTTCTTAGCAGGGTTGTGTTTCGATGACACCTCCATGGCGCCATAGCTCGGAGTATCGTGCACGGTGGGTTTCCTGCAAGTCCAAAGGTCGAACAGCTTCAGCTCGGTGGAGCACGAGGAAGATTTGAATCTACTCAGTGTCAGTTGTGAAAGTCTTGGGTATCTATGGGTGTGTTGCCTTGTGTTTCCTATGGGTTTTCCAGAACGATCAAACACCCGACGAGTTTCGCCACCAGACGGGGGACCCCGGACCCCGACGACGTTCGCGGCCATTGGACCCATCTTCAGCGTCGATGCGACGCTCCGTTCGCTGTACAGCGGCACAACGGGTGCCAAAAAGCTGTGTCAAGCGTGGATGTGCGACTGGCACTGGTGTATAGAACCCTCCATCTTTGGTTCCCTCACAGGGCGCTCGAACCCGGCTGAATCTAAGAAACTAGAAGTCAATTCTGCAATCAAACAGACTCTGAAAAGTGAAAGTTGTGAAAAAAGACAGGCCAGTCTGGCTAGTTTGGCTAGTCTGGGTTTGGTGAAGGATTTGGCTGCTCAGTTTCCTTGGGTGGTTTTGAGTAGCCTGATGTTCAGCCATTCCCAAGGTCAAGGACCCTAGGAAATCGTTGAAAGACCAAGTTGAGCTGCTTCGTTGAGTCAAACATGCAGCCCGTTACTACGAGGTGGGTGTGTAGAAGGCCACTACTCGAAGCTTGGCAATCTGGTGCTCAATGAGCTAACAGTGTTGGCCAATATCTTTGGAGATTTGAAGGTCATAGAGTTGATCGAGAACATCCTGGAGGGATCGTTGGCTCCCTTTGTGACGAACATCCTGTGGCCTGTGGCCCGTTAAAGTTGCTTTGTCTCGCTTTCTGCGCATGTGGTTTGTTTTCGGTTCTTGTTGCAAGCAACTCAACGATGCATAAAAGCTATAGGCTAATAGGTGTTCCATTCATGAGGGAGCCACACACGCGCTGCAGAAACTGTTCGAGTTGTTCCGTGCGCAGACTGGGAGCTCATGGTAGCGCTGGGTATTGTGCAGACACATGCAGACACAGACCCCAATATAGTCTTTGTGCACTGCCAAAGTTCCAATATCGACATTATCGACACTCGATCAATTGGTTGGAGACATGTGCCGCTGTTGAAACACCCCAAACAACTCAAAGTTAATCAAATTTAGATAAAATTGCAATGCATCTTGAAGCATTCCAATGTTCATTGACAATTTCTTGGCAGAGCACTGGAAAGCATGCAACGAGGTCTGAACTGTCTCCTTGCGCGAAGGACGGTTGGGGGTTTCGTGAGGTGCTGATGTGAGCCATGCGAACATTGTCGTGTTGCCAGCAGTTTGGGTAGCCCTGACACAGGGATGCCGATGTTATCCGATGTTTGAGCAGAACGAGTCAAGTTTTGGCATTTCTTCATGTAAGAGAGTGTCAAGATCTCCTATATCTTGGAGGTAGTTTGGGTATGACATGGGGGCATTCATCACACCTTTTGGAGTAACTTGCCATATCAATCGTGTGCCGCCTGTGGAGCAGTCAATGACTTGGCGCTTCTTAATTTGCGATGCCCTTGTTACTACTAGCTCCTTGCGACTTGGGAACGTGGGATGTGCACGGCTGGACTTTGGGAGATGTTTCCACGATGCTGGTGCCACATCCATCGTACACGGCAAGTCTCAAGTTGCTCCTGTCCATGTCCATAAATGGGTACAACTCTCTGGGCTTTCGTTTGACCTGCAATTGAAGTCATTATTTGGCCTCATTTGGACCATTTGGACCACCCATACCAAGTACGATCGAGTACATGTCACGAGCCATGGATTTGATGGGATAACAGAAGCATTGGTCGCTGCCATTGGTCGCGACCAACATGGACCAAGTCAATTTCCCGTGCACGGCTTACTTACTTTTGTCAGAGTTCCCTCCATTGCATAGGTTTGTCCTGCGTGGACGGTCAGAACAACTGTGCATGAGGAGGACGGATGCAGCTCAGAGATGGATGAGAGGCTCTACTATTGCAAGAGGCGGGGCAGGTTCCTACCCAGGCAGGCATGTTCACCTGCAAAATTGTTTGCATGGATGGGTTTCTGATGATATCAAAACTGAAGAGGTTGAAGCAAATTCTCTAGGCAAACGGATGGGGTCACAGGACATGTGAGAACTTAATTAGCGCAATGCAATAGGCTTTGCCATCAGCCATACCGCCTGCTTAAGTTTGTTCACACCAAAGTAGCTGGTGCTGTCCGCAGGTGTTGACTCATTGCTTTTAGGCCTTTCCATTTGTACTTTATAAAGGATATTTAAGAATTAATAAACTTTAAGAATGTTACATGATTTAGTGTTGAAACCGAGGTCAGTCATTTACACGCATGTGTGAGGTCCTCCGTGAAACAACTTTCTCAGAAGCCATACTGAAATGTTTTTTTGACATTGGAAGATGTCCTCTTGCTGCCGCACTGCTGCCAGTCAAACATTAGGTTGTCCCATGTGAGTCGACAGTTGGACTGTGTGCGGAGCCTGCACTATCAACATGATGTTGAAGGACTTTTTGCACCTGTTATTGACAAGAGGTGGTCCAAACATGTCCTAAAACATCCTAAAACCACACTCACGTCACCACATCGTGAAACTCTGGAATCCTCCAAGAATCTCTCGGAAACGGCTTTCTCTACTGACGACACATTGATCATGGACTTGCTTGGCTTTGCCCTTTTCCACCCCAAACACAATTGAACCATCCTGATTCTGCCAGCTGGCCCTGCCGGGTCTAGAGCGGTGCCTCAGCCGCCGAGCCTGGTTTTTGGAGAAGCAACATGTTAAAAGTTATGCTCACTTGGTGGGGGTTGTAAAAGTTTCTTGGGCTTTGAGCCGCCGAAGCTTCTGAGGGATCTTGATCGAGGGATCTCAATTCCTCATAATGGGGTTCCCGTGATCGGAGCTTTGTTCCAGAAAGCCTCCAACCTGCAAATGCTATGGGCAAAGACCAGTTCTGGTGCCATTGACCTGCATGCAGGAAGCGGGCCTTTGCTCCCCAGACTGCTGAGGTGGCACTGTCGAGTGGATTTGTGATGGTTCAGGCATGTTCAGGCCCACCATGGTTCCACCACTCTATGACAATGGACCCCAGTCACAGGACCGCAGATGAAACCGATAAAATGTATGGTGCCAAGTGTCCGTTGGCCCATGTTGTTCCAATGCCGTAGCATCCTTCTTCGATCCTTTTTTCTGATTAATTATCCTTTTAGCCCCTTCATTGTAACGGGTGAGACGGGTGACGTCCCACGTGCTTGCAGCAAACGGCTTTGCTTCGCCAGGCCCCGGAGCCACCAGTTCTGCCGCTTCGCGGAGTCACTGGGCTTTTCAAAACGGCGAACATTGTTGATCGGTGAGGATCCGTGAGAGGTGGATATTCGATCAGATGGTCGGTCTGCTTGTATTCCAGTTTTGAGATAGTTTGAGCCACATGTCAGATGTTGATGTAAATGTTGATGTGAATGAACGACATGAATCACGGGGTGTTGAGCCACATGGCATGCCGGCGAAGAGGAATCCCAGATCAAAAGATGTTGTGTGACCAGATGACTAAATATATTGTTTAAAACAATAGTGCTGCCGCCTCCAGACATTTTGATCTTTTCTCCTGAGTTTCTTTCTGGACAAAAGAAACCACACAAACCAAAACCACACCGGCACCAGTGACTGCGGAAGAGGACCCTCACCGGCCGAGGCGAGGACCCTCTTGCAGAGCATGCGGACGAAACCTAGGTGCTTGATGAGCAGCTTTGGTTGTTATTTTGTGTCTCCGAAACGGAAGTCATCGCTGATGGAAGGCATTCACACCCACACCATGCAATCAACAAACGATAATAGAACGTATGCTGCTAGTATTTGCTAGTAATTGACATGACCTGGGTGGTAGTAGTGTACATCTATGTCCACATTTGTTTTAAACAATATATATATATATATACATTGTGCCCGCTTTGTCAGATGTTCCTTGGAATTATTCGTCAATCAGGCCATGGATCGAATTAAAACCCCTTTTCTAGCCGCATCACGTACAAGAAGCACCCCTGAGAAACTTCTGTAGTGGACTGTGCATCTCGTGACCCTAGAAACAGATGAATCAAACAGATGAACTGGACTGAGAGCTCTTGGATGCACCTGGTGAATTCGAAGGAATTGTGCCAGGTCCAATCCCAACCTCCCAGTGGACGATGGCGAAGCCCTTTTGCTGGTCCGGAAGGCGGAGTCCTGACGACGACGTTTGTTTGGGCTCTCGATGTGGTCAACGACGTTTGAATCAGGAGGGTAACAGCTTCAACATGTTGGAGATCATATCTAACATCATATACTGTGCATAGTCGGCATGGACATCTCCCAGCTAGCCAACAACCATTCTTTCCATCAGCTAAGTATAAGTCGACTCCAAGTGAACTAGAAAGAACCACAAAGGACCCTACTTCATCACGGGAAGACCAGTGGTTGCGACACTGCATTATTTTTGATGTGTTGCTTCACAACTCCAAAACGCGGCCAATCGTCCAAGTCCAGGTCA